TTCAGGTCCTCCTGACCTGGGGCCAGTGCTTTATTGACTGTGTCACCTAGCTGCCCCTACCTGTTTGTTTTTTATATTTAAATGTTTCCCTTGGTTTCTATTTTTAGCCCAGCTTAGCCCCAGCCTGGTTGATTGGCCTGGAAACTAGAAGGCATGCTTTTAGAAGTTCCTTAGTCCTTTCAATTTCAGCTAGTCCTGGTCCTGATAATGAGGCTTTTGGATTTAACAGAGAGCACGATGCCCATTTGTGTAAAAGACCTGGAAGTGTATCTCACCAAAAGCAAGCAGAGAAGGAAACGTCTCTTCCAGCCTCAAGAATCTGGTTGGAGGCAACATAGTGAAAGGGAAAAACAAGCAAATCTAGAGTCCAGAGAAACCTGGGTTCAAAATCCCTTCTAGGTGGTATGACCATGGACAGATCATCTGAGCTGCCTGAGTCTCAATTTCCTACTCTGTAAAGTAGGTAGAATAATGCCCTTGGTAACCGTTCCACAGTTTCTGTGAGGATCAGGTGAGATAATGTATGTAAAAGCACTTTGTAGACCTTAAAGCCCCATCTTATCTCAATTGTTATTATTGGAATTTGTGGGGAATGGATTAAGGAGAGAAGACTTTCAAACAAAAAAAAAAATTACTCCATTAAGCAGGGTTTTCTCAGTTATGATAAAGAGACTTTTCGGCTTCTTCTGTGGCCTCTTTTCAAAGCTCTATGGTTACCACAACATCTGTGTTGACATCTTCTATCACCACAGGAGGAGGAGACTCAAATTCTTATGGGTGGAGTTTTCCAGTTTATTCAGAAATTCTTCCCAGCTCTAGTAATAATAGAAGACAGATAAAAGCCAGCTCCCAGCCAGAGTTCACCTGGACAGACTTCATCATCCCTTTCACTGGTGTTCTACTGACATTAACTGGAAACTCTTGGTCAAATCCTGTTTCAATCACTAGGAGAATGTTGCTGTTGCTGTGGACAAGCCTGGCCATCTGCTTCCCAGCTTTGGGTAAGACTCTTCCATACTCCCTCAATCAGCTAGGAAGAGGACAAAACCAAGAAAAGAGAATGAAATCTATAAAATATGAATCATAGATTACAGGATAGAGGTGTCAAACACATAGCCCATGGGCCTCATGAGGCCCAGAACACTCCCAAGTGCAGGCCAAACCAGGTTAAAATATAATTGAAAAATATTTAACAAAATTAATTGAAAACAATAAAACATAGATAACATTAGATTTTATAACTAAATCAATATGCAGCCCACAAAGATCCTTACTTACAATTTCATGGCCTCTGTTTCTATTGGAGTTTGACACTTGACACTGCTATAAAACACAGAATGTTTTGAATTGTTTAGCTAGTAGGGGAATTTAGATATAGAAGCATAGCTTGTCTTGGCTTCCAGTAGGGGAAACTGATCCTAATGACAGCTCCCAGCCCTGGAGTTTGGGCCATTCTCTCTACTTCCTAAAAGTTCTCCCATTTCTATAATGCTTTAAATTTTAAATTAAATTAAAATTAAATCTCAAAGTTTAAGATTTCTAAATCATTTTCCTTATGACAACCCTATGATCTAGGTAGTGTAAACATAATTATTGCCATATTACAAATGAAAACTGAGACTGAGAGTTGGAATTACTTACTCAGGGTCACATAGCCAATAGACAGTCAGGATCTGAACACCAATCATAGAATCATAAGATTTTAGAGTTTAGAATCATCTCATCTAACCTCTTCATTTTATGGATAAAGAAATTGAGGCACAGAGGGAGACACTGACTTACCTGAAGTCATGCTTTGCTAGTAGGTGGTAGAGAAGAAATTAGAACCCATATGTCCATATCTAAGTCCAGAACTTTCCTCTTCATCATGGGGATGTGGTTCCCCCAACCCATGTAAAATCAGGTGAAAATGAACTCCGAGAGAAGTTCGGAAAACCAGTCACCACATCAACTAAGGCAGTACCTGTGTGAGAGGAGAAGGGGTCAGTTGTGAGACATGTTGTAGTAGTAGAAACAGCAAGATTTGACAATTGATTAAATATGTGGGATGAGTGAGAGTGAATAGTCATGGATTCCATCCAGGCTATGAGCCTGGGAACTCAGAAGAATGGGAAATTGGGAATTTGGGTGGAGGAGAATTGCATGGGGTGGGGATGGACAGGAAAAAAATGAGCTCTGTTTGGGACATATTGCATCCGAGTTGTCTCCAGAACATTTATTCTGAAATGAACAATATGTCCTTGGTGATTCAGGACTGAAGTTAGGGAGAGACAACTCGGATCTGTGAGTCATCTGCTTAGAGATGATAATTATACCCATGGGAGTGGAGGAGGTCACCAAGACAGAATATACAGAGTTGTCAGATTCTCTGCCCCCTGGGGTGTGTGGCCAGCAAGACTCCAGAGTTTCAAAAAGGATTAAAATGGGATTTGGGAAGCATTTAACAAAAGAAATAAAAATATATTACAACATAGATAATATTCATCTGTGGTTTTCTAAGTCAATGTCCTGCCACAAGGATCAGTTTCTACTTGAGTTTGATTTCACTGTAGATAAAAGAGTCCAGGGGGCCTAGGACAGAACCTTGAGAACTCCCACAGTTAGGAGGTATGATATGGATGACAAGACAAGAATGGTCAGACAAGTAAGAAAAGAACCAGAAGAGTAATGTGAGAAGAGTGCTTTAAGGCCTGCAGAGTGCTTTACAAATACTGCTTAATTTTTATCATCACAACAGCCTTGGGAGGCAAATGTGATTATTATTCTCATTTTACAGATCAGGAAACTGAGGCTGAGAAAGGTTCAGTGGCTTGCCCAGGGTCACATAGCTAGTAAGTGTCTAAGGACCAGATTTGAACTCAATTCTTCCTGTTTCCAAGTTCAGGTCTCTATCTACTGGACCAGTGAGTAGTTTCATAAAAACACGGAAAAGAGAAAACATTCAGAAGGCGAGGCATGGTCAACAGTGTTAGATGCAGCAAAGAGATCAAGAAGGATGAAAACTGAAACAACAAAGCACATTAAATTTGATCAAGATTATTGATAACTTGGGAGGGGGCAGTGTCAATTGAGTGATAAGGTTGGAAGCCAGGCTGCAAAGGGTTAAGGAGTTGGTTAAAAGGAAAGGAAGTGGAGGCAATAAGTTAGACATCTTTTTTTTTTTAGTCTAGCTGAGAAATGGAAGAAAGATAGGGGATGGAGGGGATGGCAGGATTCAGTGAAGGTTTTTTTAAGGATGGGGGAGATGAGTATATCTGAAGGCAGTAGGGAAGGAACCATTAATAGAGACTGAAGCCTGGGAAAGATGATTGAGGGGACAGTCTTCCAGAGAAGGTGGAAGAGGATGGGATCAAGGTCACACATAGAAGATATGGACTTAGCAAGAAAAAGGGAGGAGGTATGTGAGAGCCGATTGTTAATTGTTCAGTGTTGAGCACTTCATACCTAAGAAACCGGTAAATGCTGAAAATCAGGGCTTGAATTATTGTTTTGTTGATTGTCTAGACTTAATAAAGAGATGGATAAAATGTTAAGAAGTCAGATGAAACTTAAAAGTTTGTTGTAGGTGCATTTTCCTCCCTAGAGCTAGCTGTTAAACATTTACCAGCACATCCCAGCTCTTTGTCAAAGACTGAAGGAAAGGAGACAGTAGAGGATGATGTCAGGGAATTTGAGATGAAGAAAAAAGAAGAGGGAGCTCACAAGGAAAGGCCTTCATTTTTCAGCAAAGGAAGAGACAAAGTCCTCAGTGGAGAGGGTAGAAGATGCATGAGAGGCCTGAAGTTTGGAACAGCTTCTCTGGGGAGTGACGTAGGGAATCAATTGTGGAGGAGTGAGAGAAGTGCCTTGCTGCAGAAAGCACCCTGTTGAAATTAGATCACAGAAATTGATAGCGTATCCCGTCAGCTCACTTGTGTGGCTTCCTCCCACTGCATCAGCAGCACATGAATAGGAGAAGAGGAGGAAGATGGTGGCAGAAATCGACTCGTAGGGTTTGGAGGAGGAGAGGTCGCTCCATAATAAGGAAGAGTCTGGAAGTCAAAATAGAGTGAGGAGTATTCTGATTTCCCCCACCCCGGGCTAGTGTGAAGGGGCAGAGGAGAGAGGCACTATGAAAGGGTGTATAGCCACTGCTGCAGAGGATGGCCATGGGTAGAGAGAGTCATCTAGGGGAAGCCAGGTCTCTGTGAGTGCAAATACATGGAAGGATTATGGGAAGAAGAGGTCTATCATGAAGGGAAGTATTTTCATTATAGAAGAGGAATTCCAGAGGGTCCACTAGAAGGGGTAGGCAGATTTGGGAAGGATCATGAGAGGTGGAGGGCTAAAGAGGTTGGAGGTTGAGGGTTCACTCCCAGGCAGCCAGCAATGAAGTAACTCCAAGAGAGGGGGAGTTACAGATGGTGAGAGTTTGGAAGCCATTAGAGGGCCAGTGGGCACCAGGTGGATTAGAACACTCACAGCCGCCATTGCTCCAGCCACTGGGTGGGGCAGTGGTATTGCAGAGAAGTCTGGTAGTGGCAGGGTGCCACGTTGAGGAGTGCTGGCCCTTGCTCTTCCTCTCTGATGATGTTTCCTTTGAAAAATGGGGATAATAACGCCTTTGTTCTCACTTACTACACTGGGTTGTTATAAGAGATAACGTGAAGTACTTGGTAGACTTCAGAACACCCACATACGTGTTAATTATTTTTAAGCCACTGACCGAAGTGAATCCGTAGGAGTTTGAGCTGGAAGGGACCAAAGTGTGGTACGGTGGAAGGGGCGCTGTCCACGGTGTCAGTGGACCTGGGCTCAGATCCCATCTCTGATGCTTATTACTCCCTATACGACATTGGAGAAGATGTCGCATAGCTTCCCTGGGTCTGCAAAATCTGTCCAGGAATTGCCCCATATTCTGTGATCACTCAGGAAATGTTTGTTGTTATTAAAAGTGGGGAAATAATCCATTACGATCCACAACATCTGAGCAGGGTTTAGCTTATCTAACCAGCTCTCCGATGCCTAGCAATGCACAAAGCACAGGTAAATTCTCATCCAAAAGGGAGCTGCCCTAAAAGTAAACTTGGAGATTATCTAATTCAATGCCTCATTTTATCTTACATAGGAGATAACTGAGGTCCAGAGGGTGAAGGCAAATGACTTGACCAAAATTACAAAGGTAATGATAATTCAGCTTTCTAGAGCACTTTAAGGTATTTAAAATATTTTAGAAATCTGTGAGGTAGTATTATTGTTCCCGTTTTACAGCTGGGGAAACCAAAGCTCAGAGAGAGAAACTTGCCCATCACCCAATAAGTAGTGGCTATCTGAGGCAGGATTTGAACCCAAGTCTCCCAACTCCAAGTGCAGTGATCCATTCACTATAGTGCACTGCCTCTCCTCTAAGCTCCTCTCCTTTCCTCCCTAGGTAACTCAGGCCGACCTGTGGCAGTCACAAAGTACGGCATCCTCCATGGAAAGCAGACCTGTGTTGGGGGAACAATTGTCAATATTTATCTGGGGGTCCCTTTTGCTAAGCCTCCTGTGGGCAACCTGAGATTTGCTCCCCCAGAGCCTCCTGAGCCTTGGGACGACCTAAGAGATGCAGCCACCTACCCGCCTGCGTGAGATTCTCACCTTTAGCTTTTGGGGGTTCTGGGGAGTGAGAAGAAACTGGGGGAGGTCACCTGACCCTATTCCCCACCTCCAGGCAGAGTTGCTGCTAATCCACTGGGGCTGCTAATCCACAGCGAGCTGATTAGGGAAGCTTGACATCAGCTAGTGAATGAATTATCTATATTACTTCTGGATTGGCTCTATGCAGGGCAGAGAAATAATACTGGGTGTTGGGGTGATCAGAGAAGGTTTCACTGGAGGAGCTGAGCCTTGAGAATAGGTCGAATTTGAGGGGGATGGTGTAGGGGTGAGATAGCGAATTTTGCTTTACATGGGACTTTTCCAAAGCAGTGTGGTGTGTGGACACAGGAATTCTTTGGCGTCCAAATACTTGAGTTCACTACTATTTTTCTACTTTTCAGGTGCCTACAACAGTCCTGGGGCCAGATCACAAACCTGTACCTCACAAACCAAAAACATTCTCCATGGCTGCAATTCCGGGAGGATTGCCTGTACCTGAACATATACACACCAGCCCATGCCCAGAGAGGAGGCCGGCTGCCGGTGAGTTGCTCTTCACTCCTTCCCAATTTTCTCCAGCTATCTCAGCTCAGGCATCTTTTTTGAGGCAGGCAGCAGCCTGTATCTCAGATACTTCCTAGCTGTGTGACCCTGGACAAGTCACTTAACAACCCTTTGAGGTAGGTGCTCTTTTTATCCTGATTTTACAGATGGGGAAACAGATACAAAGAGATTAAGTGACTTACCCAGGGTCATACAGCTAGGAAGTACTCAGGTCTTCCTTGATTCCACATCCCATATTCTATCCACCTAGCTGCCTAGCTAGCACCTAGCTGCCTAGCTAGCTTTTCCCTCAAGCAAGGGGTGCTGGGAGGAAATAAAATGGCCTTCCCATAAGATTTTAGCTGCCATTCATCAATCAGATCATAGAGTGTTTCAGCTTCAGGAGATCTTAGAACGTGGTATTTTAAAGCAGGAAGGAGCATTAGAACATAGAATTTCAGACCTCTGAGAGACCTTGAAACATAGAATGTTGGAAACTTTAGTCCAATCTAGAGGGAGAGTGACCTTGGGTAAGAAGTCACTTAACCACCCTAAGCCTCAGTTTTTCCATCTGTAAAACGTGCCCAGTACATTGGCCAGCGCATGATAGTCACTCAGGAAATATCTGTTGCTGTTATTAGTAATGAGGAAGTAACCCAGTAAGTGGCAAAGCTAGCAGCTCTTTGTTTAAAAGTGACAAATGAAAGTGAGCTTTCCCCCAGCGAGCCCTCATTCTGCTAGCTTGAGATTTATTTCTAGGAGCGTCTAAATACTGAATTCACGTGCCAGCCTTGTACAGGCTAATACCATTCTCCTACTTTGTGCTAACAACTCCACGTCTCCAGATCATCTCCTGCTGACCAAATCTTTCTCCCTAGAAGAAGGAACATTCTTTCTGTTCTCCTCTCCCTGTTTGCAAGCTTTAAATAAAATACACACAAAGCTTAGCGTTGCTGCAGGTCAAAAGAATTTTATAGCAGGTTCATACAACCTAAATAAAAGACAACAGATACAAAAGCAGAGAAGCTACCACCACCAGCTAACCAGAAGAGGGAAATGCAGTTTTGTTAGGCAATAGAAGAGGTCCCCAGGTCAGTCCCATCCCTCCACCAGGCTCTCACTGCCCTGGAGCCACAGATCCCTCTAGCTCTCTCTGGATCTCAGCACCAGATCCTTCCAGATCTTCTTAGAGCTCTCTCCTAGTTTATCCCTAAGCTGTGGCTCACCTCTATCTCTGCTCTCAAGACTCTTCTTCCTTTTTCGCTTATCCAACCCTCCAGTCCCAACTTCCTGCTTGGTAGTCAAGGTCGGGCACTCTCCCCAAGTCTTGAAATAAGTGCTATTTGAGTTGAACTGAACACACTCACTTTGGCTAAAGGCTAACTGATGCCTATATCAGATGCAATACATCCCACTACAGCTTATGAAGTTCAAAAGCCACATTGCCTACATCTATAATGGGACATAGCTGGGTAACCCACTGAGTTAGTCCATCAGTGCATACACTCAATTCATTTAACCAACCCTTTATAAGAACCTGCTATGAAGACATTGTGCTAAAAGGTAGACATATAAAGAAAAATGAACAGACTCTGTCCTTAAGGAGTTTACTGTCAACTAAGTAGGTACTACAGATAGGCAATGAGCTGGGACCCAACTTTTTAATGCCAATACTCCCCAGGAATGTTATAGCTTCCAATCATAGAATAATCAAAGCTGATTGCAAGTGATCCCCAAAAAGTAATGGAAAGATGCCCAGTAGGTATAAGGAGACTACAGCCAATTACATGTGATGGTGTAGGCATGAAAAGTGATAGAAAAGGTATTTTTCAAGAGCATTTATGAAAAGTACATGGGCCAGTCATGTAGCAAAAGCAAGGGATGGCACTTTGTACCAAAGATAAAAAGAACCTAAAGAAAGCCTCCAGCTGATTGGCTATATCATCAATGAGGGATTTGTGGATTTGTGAACAAGAATCCCATAGAGTGGAAGGGCATGGGTGGGTTATGATCTAAATCAGGGACAGTGTGAGTTTCTCTGATCACGGCTCCATTAGTGCATTGTAATAATAATGATAATAATAGCAATAATAGCTTGCAATTATATACAAAATAAATAAAAGTTCTATATAATGTAACACTTTGTGATTTGCAAAGCTTTCTACAAATACCTTACTTTATCCTCACAACAACCATGGGAGGTAAATATTATCCCCATTTTACACATGAGGAAATGGACAAATGGAAGTTAAATGACTTGTTTAGAGTCATATAACTACTAAGTGTATGAAGCTGGATTTGAACTCAGGCATTCTTGACTCGAGGTCCAGTGCTCTATCTACTGTGTTACCTAACTGGCTATATGGTATTGCTTTGATACTTCAGTGGAGCTCATAGAGGTAGATACTCCCTCCAGCAGTGCAGATTGAAACCCAGCCATGTCTTTTCATCCAGTTCCACTTTTAGCTGCGTCTTCCTGTAAACCCTCCACTGAGAGGGTCTGTGTAACAAGACGGGGAGCACTTCCTCCCAATCTCTTGACATGACATGAATGCCAATGGAGCACACAACCTCTTCATTTTTTCTCCCTTGTGCCTGATTAGCCCTCCTCCTTTTTACTGCATTATTCTTCTCTGATATCTTTTGCACAACTTCTCCCTTGCAATTCTTGGGATGCCATTCTGATAATGAGGTGCTCTAGAGATGTCTGTAGATGGTATTTTGCTGGTTGCATCAAGCCCTGGAGCACTACAAAACCTCCTAAATGAGTTCTATATTCATTCAAAAGAGTTCGGTTTGGCAATCCACAAAAGAAAAACCAGGTGGATGACAATGCCTATTGAATGAATTACAAAATGCAATTGGATTAACAGTTCATAGAGCTGGTTACTCTGTACATATATCCTCAAGAACCACTACAGAAGGACAATGAATTATCTCTCTTCTAGTTCTAAATCTATGGCCCTATGACTCTTGATTGCACATAGGAAAAATACAGTGGATAGTGGACTTGTCCATTGGACTTGGAGTCAGGAAGACTTGAGTTCAAATCATCCCTCAGAAACAGCTTAGCTGTGTGACCCTGGGAAAATCACTCAACCTCCACCTGCCTCAATTTTCTCATCTGTAAAATAAGAATAATAATAATAGCACAAAACCCAGAGTTGTCGTGAGGATTAAAAGAGATAATTTGTAACACATTTTGCAAACATTGAAGAGCTATAGACATGCTAGCTAGGATTATGGTGACAATGATGATGATGATGATGATGATGATGATGATGATGATGATGATGAAGAAGTGACTATTATGTGTCAAATACTGTACTAGATGCTGTGGATACAAGTACAAAAAATGAAACAATCCCTATTCACAATAAGGTTATGTTCAAAGCATTTATTAAGCTCTCATTGTGCGTCAGCCACTGTGTTATATCTTTCTATAGCATGAAGATTAAGATGTAATTTGAAGGCAAAGGAAATGGACAAGCACTCATAAAGAATATAAGTAAGACGGCAAACTAGGTGGCATAGTGGATAAAGCACCAGCCCTGGAGTCAGGAGGACCTGAGTTCAAATCTGGCCTCAGACTCATAATACTTCCTAGCTGTGTGACTCTGGGCAAGTCACTTAATCTCAATTGCCTCACCAAAAAATTTTTAAAAAATAATACAAGCTCCCTGAGGACAGTCTATTTTCTATGCAGTGATTTGCACATGGTAGGCATTTGATAGGTGATTTCGAATTAAATTGGCATAGTTTATAACCCATGTCTCTTGACTTTTGGACCAGTATACTTTCCACAGCTTAAAATTCAATTCAATTCAATAAATATTTAAGTGCCTACTATGTTCTAAGCACTGTGCTAAACATTGGAGATGTAAATAATGACAGTCCTTGCCCTCAAGGAACTTACAATCAAATAGGGGGAAACAACAGGCAAAAGAAAGCTAGAAAGCCACTTTTTAAAAAATCCTTCATTTTAGTCTATGATGGGCAGCCAAAAAGGTCATATGGTGGCAGATGAGGCAATCCAGATGGTCAGTATGGCACAGCAGCTGTATAGGTAGGGGCAACTGCCTGCTTGGCTCTCTGTAGGTGATGGTCTGGTTTCCTGGTGGTGCCTTTGTGGTGGGATCAGCCTCTACCTATGATGGCTCCGTGCTATCTGCCCATGAGGACGTGGTAGTGGTTACCATCCAGAATCGACTTGGCATCCTGGGCTTCCTCAGGTGAGAGTTGGGAGGAATCCTGAGGGGGGCTGGAAAAGGGATAGGTTGGGATAGAGTCCAACAGAGATGGGCAGCCTGGGACTAAGGGTGGGGCCATGTGGTACCTGGTCTTGTGAGGATGGGATCAAGTATGGTTGGGGCCATGGGGGCCAACAGAGCTGGAGGACGGTGATAAAGTTGTGCCAGAGGCAGAAGCTGGTCTCCAGACTCTGAGTGGATTTTGACTCTCAGCACTGGAGATACCTATGCCCGAGGGAACTGGGCACTGCTGGACCAGTTAGCAGCTCTGCGATGGGTGCAGGAAAATATTGCAGTTTTTGGCGGGGACCCCGGCTCTGTGACCCTGTTTGGCCAGTCTTCGGGAGCCATATGTGTTTCAGGACTGGTGAGTGTGGTGATGCAAAGTAGGCTGCAAAAGGGGGATAAGGAAGTTAACTCATTACTTCTAGCTCCTGGGCCCAGAGTGAAATAGTAGAAAGTGGTTCATGAGTCAGAGGACCCAACTTCAAATCTTGACTCTGATGCCTACTCTCCATGTGACTCTGGGCAAGTCACATCAACTCCTTGGGTTTCATTTTCCTGAATCTATAAAATGAGATAGTTGGACTAAAATTCTGTGGTCTCTTCAAAAGTAAATTTGTGATCTATAATAGGGGCAAGTTGGTCAGGACACGACAGCTCCCGTGGTCAAGTGATTTCCCTCCAGCCCAGTTGATGAAATTATAGAAGGCAAGGGGAAAGTAACAGAGACAACAAAGTCTTCAGCAAAGTGCAAAGTTGGATCTGCACTCTTTTAGCCCTTTTTTAAGTTGTGAAGTTCTTCAGTCAAGCTCAAAGGAATTAGTGTGGATAGTTATTGGCAAATCAAAGGATTGGTCTTACCTCTATGGGCACTTTTAAAAAGAAATCTACTCTAGGAAACAGTAAAGGCAGGAGAGAGTTCTGAGGAGTGTGAGCTTTGGGAATCAAAAAGAAAATCAGACATTGAGGAAAGAATCATTCCTCTCCTGGGGAAGGAAAGGGATTTCCCTCTCCTTCTCCCCCCTTCCCCAGTAGGAGATAACCACACTCAGCAGGCAACAGGCTTAACTCCTACATAGATGTTTGGACCATAGAGCCCAACTCCCTAATTTTATAAATGAAAGTCCAGAGAAGTTGTTACCAGAGGGTCACATAGATAGTAACAGAGTAGAACTCAAGAACTCTGACTCCAAATTCATCAATCTTTCCACAATAACCACCTTCCCTCTTCACCAAAGCACACCCTGTTCTTCACCTGTGGCCTTCTTCCTCTTGGTTTCTGCAGATTCTGTCTCCCTTATCCAAGGGCCTCTTCCACCGAGCCATCTCTCAGAGTGGAACAGCCCTCATAAAGGTCTTCATCTCTTATGAGCCACTGAAGATTGCCACGGTCAGTGCCCTCAATCTCCAGAGTAACTAAGGACTATCCCTTCCCCTAAAGGAGAATACCACTGTTAGCCCCAACAGACAGGCTCAGTGACACTTAGAGAGCCCCCAGTGTGTAAGAAGAATTGGGTGGAGAATTTAGATATACTACTTTAATGCAATTCAACAAACATTTTTTATTAATTTTTTCAAGTATCATTCATTTTTTCTTCCTATCCCCCCATCATGAAAAAAAAAGAAAAAGACACTTCTAATAAATATGCATAGTCAAGCAAAACAAATTTCTGTATTGATTATGTCCAAAACACATGTAGCAAGTATTTTTATGTGCCAACTATATTCATAGGTATAAATAGGATTTTTTTTCATCTGGGACAAAGTTGGGAGGAAGGAAGGGGAGGGAGAGCTTACCTCCCCATGGTGGGGTCACAGGATAAGTGTGAAGAAGATGGAAGGAAGTTCATCCTAAGACATATTTTCTACATAGCTAAAAGACTAACAGATGTTTGGGGGTAGGGAAAATGCACCCTAGAATAAGACCAACATCACTGAGGTGAAGAGGATCATACTTGAAGGAAGGAAGAACAGCCCTGAATGTTGCAGTCAGGAATCTTCTAAATTTGAGCACCCTTCTAAATTTGCCCCATCCTTAACTAAGGTGGGGGGCAACCAGGGCTTTGTTCCACCCAAATCAAAGCTCTCAGCATGGGTGAGGTCCTGTGCTCAACTCTGGGGCTACAAAGATGAAAAATGACAATTACTACCCTCAAAAAGCATAATTAAAATACAGTAGGAAAAATACAACACGTATTCAAATAATCATATGAAGTAGAACGGTGACAGGCACACAGCGAAATACAGGCAAAATACCTAGGAAAATATGAGGGGAGAGAGAACATTTTCCACCAGCCAACTCAGGGAAGGGATCACGAGGAAGTGGTAATATAGGGAATAAGATGGGATGGGATTGTAACTGAGTCAAGGAAGTTTGGAATCTGGATAATTAGGAGGAGGATGGTGCCATCAATGGAAGGGGCGGAATTCACTGCAGTAGGGGAATACGGAGTGACAAGTTCAGTAAGGAAGATAATTAGGTCTATTCTGGACATATTGAATAGCTGATAGTGCTTCTTAGAACATTTTTCTTCCCCTAGACTGGTCTGAATCCCAACAATCCAACGCACTGGGAACTCCTCCCAGCTCTCTAATGATTAACTCCTGAGAACTCCCCAGACAGCCAAACCCAGACCTACGCTGGGCTGCTGGAGACATTTCCACTTAGATGTTGTCATCAGTAATATGAATAGCTCACGTGTTAAGTGTTCGGCTCACTACAATCTGGTGAGGCAGGTATTATTAGTATTCCTGTTTCTGCTTTTACAGATGAAGACACAGACTGAAATTTAGTGACTAGTTTGCTATACAAATACAGCAAATATTTAGCCATGGGGTCAGGAGTTGGGGCAACATAAAGTTTTCCTAAGAGATGATGCCTACCCAAAAGCAATTTAGATGTATCTAATTCTAATCCAGGTCTCCTGACTGTATAGTATTCTTTTCATTAAACTATATTTCCTTTCACTAGAGAGCAAGACTTTGGCTTCATAGAAGAGATCCTGGTTCCCTGCACGAGATAGGGGGTGGAGTTTGGAAGGACATAGGGCTTCAACCCTGCCGCCAGCCAAATTTGGGACTGTCCCTCCCAAAGAATTGGGAAGTAGATGGGGATGAAGAGGAGACTGTTCCATAGATTCAGGGACACCTGTTCTTCAGGAAGAGAGCTGTCCCTGGGGCCCTTCTGTGGTGACAGAAGTTGAATTCATTGCCCAGGCAATTATCCCAGACTTTGGGGGAGGTGGGCGAAACCAAAGGGAACTGTTGCTGACTTCTTGCTGCCTCTACCTACAGAGAATTGCTAAAGCGGCCAATTGTGCTACCAACAGTACCCAGGCCCTGGTGCAGTGCCTCAGGTCAAAGTCAGAGAAAGAGATCCAGAAGGTGTCTAATGAGATGGTAGGTCGTCCCAGAGGGGAATACAATCTCTCTCGTTAAGCAAGGGCTGATTCTGAACTGATGTCCCAGTCCTAGCCTGGCCCCCTTCCACCAGATTTGCCAACTCACTAAGAGTTACCTGACATTACCAATAAATTCATGGTTCCTAAGGACATAGTTTTTCTACTCCTTTCCCCCCAGAGATCTCCTAAGATCATAGATTTAGAGGATTTGTTTATTAGGCACTTAATATGTGCCAGACACATTGAGGGTACAAAGAGACAGTCCCTGCTCTCAAGTCAGGGACATTAGAGATCACCTACATCAACCCCTCATTTTACAGCTAAGGACCATGAGGGCCAGAGGTCAAATGACTTGATCAAGAAGACCTAAGAAGCAAGCACCGTCGGGATCTGACCAGATCCACTAAGCTAATCCAAACCCTTCTTCCGTGATTCTATGTTGGCTCAGAATCATCTTGTATCTCTGGGAACTGTACCTTCCTCCAGATCCCTGGTGTCACCTCATTGTGGGGAGGAACAGCATCATCCCTCTCCCCCCAAGGCCTCCTACCCTGCTTCCAGAGGTAGCACTGGCAACTGAATACGTAGCCAGAGGACCCTGGTTTGAGTTCCAATTCTGCCCATACATATGCTATGTAGCCTACAGAAATTCTCTTTCCATCCCTGACACTATCAGCATCAATATTTGTAAAATGAAGGCAGTGGACTAGATGTTCTTCAAAGTCCCTGTCTGCTCTAAATCCAACGTCCAAACGCCCTTGGCAGGGTTCCTGAATTGGGAGCACGTGGTCCCTGCCTACTTCTTGCTCCCCACAAAACTCACCGTCCCCCATCTTGGGAACTCATTTCCTCCCCAGGAAGGAAAGGCCAGTAGTTTCTGCGGGTGGCTGGGGCTCCCTGTCTGACTTTGATTTCATCCTAGCCCCAACGTTGGCCTCAGGGCCTCAATACACTGTCCCACATGGAGGAGGCCTTAGAATTTGGCGGTGGACCAACTTTTCAATTTGTGTCTAAGTTCTCAATTTCTCTGTGTCTCCTTCCTTCTCCTTTGCTGTTACTCTCCTCTCTACCTCCTTTTAAATTGTGTTGGTTTTCCTAGAATCAATCTAAGGGCTCTGACTTTCCTTCTGAGTTTGTCCCTCAGTCTCTGTCTACCTCTACTTGGTGTCCCTTCCTCCATTCAAATCTCTTTTTGTGTCTTTTCACCTCTATATGTCTGTAAATAACCTTGTCTGTATATCTCTCTGCTTCCTAGTTTGTGTATGTGTGTGTGTGTGTGTGTCCCATCTCAGTTTACACATCTACCCCTCTATATGTGTATCTCTCTCTCTTCTCTCTCTCTTTCTCTCTGTCTGAATGTCTCTCTCTCTGTCTCTCTGTCTCCCTCAGTCTCTTTCTCTCTCTTCAAAAACCAACCATACCCAGCCCCCACAAGCCACCCTTCCCGCAGTACTCATATTGCCCATAATTCATTCAGAGTGAATGAACCAAATCCAAACCTGTGCCATAAAAATGCAAGGTGAAGGCTGGAGATGAGGAAGCAAGTTATCCCCCTCTTTTCCTAGGTTCCCTCCCTCCTTTCAACTAGGCTGGGCTGTGCATGGACAGGACCCATCCTCCTTCCTTAGATCTCCCATATAGGGCAAATAAACTATCCTGCTTCTCTGTCTCCCAAACCTGTTTATAACCCACTTCAACCTTGTCATCTCTTCACCTGCAGAAATTCTTCCAGCTGAACCCAAAAACAAACCCTTTGGAGGTATGTTGGCTGTGATTTCCAAACCTTATGGACTTGCCCAAGTGTCTTTATCTGGCTCAGTGTTGGGGAGGCAGAGACCAGATGCAAAAATTACCCCTTTGCAGAGATTCCTAGGTAGGCCTGCAAGAGGGTGTTCAGTCCAGATCCTTGGTGCATCTCAGGGAAGTTTTTACCATGAAAAGGATGCTGTCTTGACTAAGGAATGTTTATAAGTCTAGATAGATAGATAGATAGATAGATAGATAGATAGATAGATAGATAGATAGATAGATAGATAGATAGACAGACACATACATACATACATGTGTATGTGTATATAATTATATACGTACGTGTATATGTGTTCTGTTGTTCACTCGTTTTCAGTGGTATCCAGCACTTTGTAACCCAATCTGGGAATTTCTTGGCAGAGATACTAGAGTGGTTTTGCCATTTCCTTCTCCAGCTCATTTTACAGATGAGGAAACTGAGAGCCAACAGGGTGAAGTGACTTGCCCAGGGTCACACAGCTAGTAAGTGTCTGAGGTCAGATTTGAACTGAGGTCTTCCTGGCTCCAGGCCTGGCACTTTAACCACTGTGCAACCTGGCTGCCCTTACATGTGTGTACACACATATATCAACGCACACGTATATCTATATGCATATCTCTCTATAGTTATATATGTATATATATATATATACACACACACTTGTGGGTATATATACATACATATATGCACATGCATGTATGTACACATATACATGTATATCTTTATGTATATACAATCAATACATACACAATTAGTATATATAAATGTGTGCATATGTGTGTGCATATGCATATATGCATATAGACATAGATCTAAATCTATATGTGTACATAGTTGTATATAGATACACTGTACATATATATTGTGTACACAGGTCTGTGTATACATACACTTATGTTTATTCATACATTCATGTACATATATATTTATGTGTATGTGTACACATATACACTTATCTCTATATATACATGTATACACATATGTATACTACACACACACACACGTGTGTGTGTGTGTGTGTGTGTGTGTGTGTGTGTGTGTGTGTGTGTATAACAAGGGTAGCTTGGCTGCAAAGGGTTAGTCCTTGAAGCATGCACAGATATTCCCTGCCTGGTCTCAGTCCAAGAGATGATGTAAAAGCCTGGAGTAAACTTGTTTCTGGCCTTGCATTCCTGAGGAGTTGTTACTGTATGATGACGAAAAATTTTCTAATTGGCTGCAGAGTTGGAAGACACGATGACTCAGTGGTCAGGCACACACAAGGATTGCCTCCACTCCACTGACCACAGCCACTCTGGTGGCCACTGCTACTACCTCCATGCAGGTTCAACCAGTGATGGAAACTCTGAAGGGACCTCCAGTTGTCCCAAACACACAAGGTCACCTGAAAACTTCCCTTGCAGAAGATTCATTTACCTGAGATCTGAGAAAAAAGAGATCAAGGTAGCAATATGCCCATAATGGAACACAGGCTGCTGTCCCTCCTTGATGCCTCAGGAACAGATCTAAGTAGTCTTGCCTTAAAGCCACAAGGAAAAGAGAACCACTTAGGGGGTGCTGTCCCCCACTTTCCATTTAGTCCTGGCTTCACAATCTCTGGATCCTCAGTTCTTCTAGTGGCACCATAACTTTTGGTCATCTCACAATGCCAGCACCTCAGTCAAATATGGCTGGAGACTGGTGCACCCCTAAGCTTCCACCTGGCTGTTTGGACTAAAACCAGGCAGGGAATACCTGCACATGCTCCAAGGACTTCTCCTCCCACCTCCGGGCCAGTCCACTCATGCCCCGCACATGGTTGTATGACCTTGGGCAGGTCACATGCCCTCTCTGGGTTTGTATCTCTTCCTCTGTAAAATAAGAGTAGGGTGGACTGGACGAGGCACCTTCCAGCTCTAGATCTCACTGTCCACTGTTGGCCATTTCGGGCAGAAGGGCTAGTGGAGAGGGTGGGAGCGGAGACAGGGAAGATTCCATTTCATTGCCCACCTGCTGGAGCAGCCTGTGCCCACCAGAGGGTGCTGATGGCCCACAGACCACGAGGCTGTGGCCAGCCGCGTTCACTTTGACCAGGATGATTTGGGGAAACTGGGGCAGGACTTCAGCTCTGCTGTGGTCCAGGACTAAACTTGAGTTGTCTCGTAGACCATCTGGTTTGTACCTGCTGTGGTGGACGGACTTGTTTTCACCGACAGCCCTGAAGCGCTTCTGGCTCAAGGGAACTTTCAACCGATCCCCTACCTGCTGGGTGTGAACAGGATAGAATTCAACTGGCTTCTCCCTTTTGTAAGAGACAACGGAGGGGAAGGGGAGAGGGGTGGAGAGGGCAGGGGCAGGAGAGGGAGGGGAGGGACTTCCAGGCTCCTCAGCATCCACAACTGAGCCACGCTAACTCTCCATAACAAGAAAATGGGGGTTATTAAGAAAACAGAGCTATGGATGGAGTCCTCCCCAACACCAGAAGCCAGGCGCAGGTGCTAAGTTATTGAAGGCACCATGATCCAGGGGAAAGCAAACTGGACCATCAGGAGGTCTGAGTTTGAGTGTCTAATCTGCTATTTACTAATTATGTGGCCTTGGGTAAGTGACTTCCTACCTCTGAGCCTCAGTGCCCTCATATATTAACTGAGAGGCTTAGACTAGGTGATCCCTAAGGCCCCTTCTGGCTCTCACATTCTCTATTCTAAAATCTCTTCCAGCCCTGACATTCTGTGTTCTAAGGTCCCTTGCCTTCTAACATGCTGTGTTCTAAGGTCCCCTGTGTCTGACATTCTTTGTTCTAAGCTCCTTTGTTCTAAGTTCTAAGCTGATATCCTGAGATTCTATGTTCTGGACCAGGAGTTCTGGAGGGGAAAGGGAGTAGCTGGAATTTGCCTTCACATTAGATCCATCCCCCCGATCAGCTGCTGGCCACATTGTGATGTTGGCTCCAACACCCCCTTTCTGTGCCCTTCTCTCCCTCTATACTATCCTCTCCCTTTAGAATGAAAGGGCCATCTCTGCCCCCCCTTTTCTGGACTGAAGAACTAGAATAATGCTAGCTTCCTTTTCCATAACATAGCAGAGTTTGCAAAACTCTTTACATTATTTGTTTGGGTCTATGCAACAGCATTATTATAATGCATTATTATCTCCATTTTACAGCTGAGAAAATTGGAGACTCAGGGAAAGGAAATGATTTATCCAAGGTCATACAACTATACAACCATAATTAAAAGAGCCAAGACTTGGACCCCAGTCTAGCATTCTTCCCACCCCCCTGCCATTTATATTTGAGGTTGATTGAATGTCAGTGTTCCTAATGCCCTCCCTCACTGACATATAGGGCTTTGTCTTTTGAGGGAAATATTCCAGGCACCAACAAGAGCCAGGAGAGAACCCCTCCTGGGCCCACGTCATGGGTGCTTTTAGGCAATACAGCCAAACCCATTTCCCTCATGTTGATCCTGCAATGCTTCTCCAAAGGTGGCACAGGGCTGCTGCCAGACAGTAGAAGCATGTCAGAGTAGAAAGAACCTCAGTCACATGTGACCATGGACAAATTATCTGTAAAATAGGAGTAATGATCCTTGCCCTCTTTTCCTCCCAGAGTTTTAGTGGGGAAAAGTGTTGAAATGTGAGCTTTTGCAAGACAGCAGACGCACCTGGCCTTTGTCTCTGGAATCCCTAGGAATGTGTGCTTATGGGCAGGGACAGGCAGGGACGGGCTGGCGCCAGCCTCAAAGCCCATTGTTAAAATTTCAGTGTGAGCAATTGGCAAAACCTCTACCATTGCCAAACGCTCCAAATTAGGGTTTGATTTATCGTTTTGTCGATTGTCTAAATTTATGAAAATGATGAAGACGATGTTAATAATGCAAATTAAACTTAAAACTGTGTCGCAGGTGGGGGGGGGGTTCTGGAGAGCCAGTTGTTAAACATTTAGCAGAGCACCCCTGCTTATAGGCCAAGGTGTGTGTCTGTCTGTTTGTGTGTATTGGGAGTGGGGTGAACGCTGACTCTGTTACTACTTGTGTGACCTTAGATAAATCATTGCCTGCTTGGGCCTCTTCTCTGTTTCTGTAAAATGAGGGAGTAAGACTACATGATCTTATATCATCATTATAAAAGCTCCTCCAGCTCTGTTCTAAACCCAGAAAACTGGAGTCCAGCAGGGTGTCCTACTCCCTCTCAACCGGAGCAGGCTCCCTCCTAAATCTCTTTATCTGACTTCACCCTCACTGCACACATATGTACTTGCACCAAATCTGTGGTCAATTTAGAGATTCCATTTCATCCTCAGATCATGAAAATTCCTCTCAGCCCTCAGACACTAACTAGATGCAGAATCACTGATCTGCTATGGGACTTCTGCTTGATCCTGGTAAGCAGCCACGCTCTGGGGCAGGGACATAAGACAAGGGCGGAGGGTGTCAAGGGACCACTTCTAATGGTGGAGCATCCCATGAGATGTGAAGATAAGGCCATCTGGAAAGTTGGGTCAAATTACTTTCCTTCTGGAGCACTGAGTAGCTGAGTGTAGAAGACTTCCATTTCTTGGGGCCTCACTTGGCAAAGGCTCACCTGCTTCTGTTTGGTAGAGTGAAAGGAACCCTGGGCTCAAAGGACAGAGGAACTTTGGACAAAGTACTTCCCTTCTCTAGACCTCATGCTAGGAGCTTTCTTCAGGACTTCCCAACCAACCCCGGGCTGTGTCAAGGCTGGACTTAAGCTGGGTATTGCTACAGTTAAGAAGGATTCGAACATAGAGCTATTGGCTTAAGAAAGTAGCAGGGGAGCAGGAAGAGGAGGGCAGAGATGACTTCAGCACCAACTTAATGGGACAGCCCCTTCCCCATTCATTTTTCCCCTTTAAGGATCAAATGAGATATTTGTAAAACAGCTTAGCACAGGGCCTGGCACCAGCAGATGCTTAATGAATGTTTGTTCCTTTCTCCTTTAAAGCTATTCCTCTGGTTATTGTAACTAAATTCAATAACCATGGCAGATGCTGCATGGTCATCACAGAGGTGTTAGTTTGTGAAGTGGTTACATGTATTCGAATGCATATCATTCAAAGTTATAATTATGTAAACTATATCCAGCCTAGTGGAAACATGCAATGCAAATTTAAATCCCTTACTTGCAACAATCGAGACCTAGCTAATGGAAAAAACATGGGATTTGGAGTCAAGAGGCCCTGGTTTGGACCTTAGCTCTTCTTCCTATCTATGTGACCTTGGTCACTGAGCCTCTAGGACCATCAGTATGCTTTCTCATCTGTCAAATGACAGGGTTGGACTGATTGACCTCCAAGGCCAGCTGCTTCCAGTTCTAAATCTGTGACACTAGGAACATTCATTAGTGTTCTCTTCTGTACAGAGTCCTGTACTGAGTGCTAGAAAAGATAACAAATGTAGATAAAATAACCCCTGCCTTGCAGAGTTCTGTGCCCATCAGATAGTTACAATTCAATGCTTGGAGGAACCATGATTTCATAGATGTGGTGAATCCCTCCCCCGGGGCAGATCTCAGCTCCTCTCTGATTATTCATACTGTATGATCCCTGGCCATGGCCTTCAATAAATCCTTCATAGAGAATTTAGCCGATGTGTCAGAGCCTTTTTCTAGGTCTTCCTCTTATCTGTTATGAAAGAGATAACAGCAATAGGCAATAATATACAATGAATGAATTACTAAAGAGGTGCCCAAAAATGGGCTAAGGGATGAGGGAAATATCATTATCAACCAGAAAGATCGAGAAAAGCTTCCTGGTGGAAATAGCCCTTCAGATGGGCTTAAAAGCTAGCCAGGAATTCAATGGGTAAAAAGGGGGAAAGAAGGCATTCCAGACATAAAAAATATTATTTTTAAAGCATGGAGGTGGGGATATTCAGGGCACATTGAATGGAAAGAGAGTAATACAGCTCAACTGCACCACAATATAGAAAGGAATGATCTAAAATCATACTGGAAAGGTGGGGCGGTGCTACATTATGAAGAGCCTTGAATGCCAGGTAAGACTATTCAGTTGGCACTTGGGAGCCAGTGAAGATGTCTGAACAAAGGACTGATATAACCATCTATGCAGAAAGTAGATATTCTGACAATGAGTCATGGCTTGCAGGAGGGATAGAACGGAGGAATTAGTACTAGGATGTCTTAACCTCCTCTCTTTCATTTGTCCTTTCAGAACATCACCGAAGACCAAATTCCTCTGGTGATGAAAGAGTATGTAGGAGACACTACATTCCAACATGGAAACTTTGGGCAACTGGTCCTGATTCGAAACAATATCCTGGAGCTGGCTGGAGATGCAACTTTTGTGACATCAGCTATTCAGACAGCACGTCATCACAGAGGTGACCCCCATCCCCCCAGCAACGGCCTGGCCCAAGCGAAGCCCACAGTGGGTCACTTCAGTCACCAGATATTTTTACTGAATACAATACCCAGTGCTTGGCACTGGTCACAGTGAGGGGGTGGGCAAGGGGGGGACACATATAAATTAGCAGAAAGAGTCCCTGTTCTCAGAGAGGGAGCTAGGGAGACATATATTCAAATTACTACTGCAAAAGGCAAGGCCTCCATTTCAAGATGTGTAAACTGAGGCAATTGGCCTAGATTATCTGGAGGGTCACTTCCAGCTCTAACATTCAGGGTCCTAAGGTTCCTTAATGTTCTATATTTGAAGGTCCCTTCTAGATCTAACATTCTGTGCTTAGGTTCCTCCCGATTCTAACATTCTAGGGACCTAGCTCTAACACTCTGTGTACTAACTTTATTCCAAAGTCCCTCTCATCTAGAATATCCTATGACCAAAGATCTCTTCCACTTTTAACAGTGTTTTCCATGTTCTGACATTCTGTGTTTTAAGGTCCTGTCCAGCTTTTAATATTTGATAAGTTATATATGAGTTGTTTGTTAGGTGTTATTAGAGACGTAGGTAAAGATCACTATGGGCTAAAATGGTCAGAGGCATAGAGGGGAGACTGAGTTGGGCCTTGAAAGATGGTTGGGTATCACAGGTGGAAGAGGTTAATAGGTATGACTACGGAACGATGGGGTGGCTGCCCATGCCACTGGTCCCTTCCTTTAAAAGGCATTGTAGCACAATGGAAAGAACGTTAGATTTGGAGTCCAAAGAGAGTGGTTCAAACCCTAGCTCTAACATTTACTCGCTATACAGCCGTAGAAAATCAAGCAACTTCTTCTCTTAACCTTTGTGAATTCAAGTTTCCTCCTCTAAGATGAGGATAATAAAATTTGTACCTCTTATATTCCTTCCTTCATGCAATATGCATTTCTTAAGCACCTATTATGTGCAAGGAACTCTGCGAGGTGGTAAAAGATCAAAAGAAAAGCCAGTATCTGTCCTCAAAGAGCTTATTTTCTACCATGAGGAAATAACACGGACACAGATAAGTAAATACAAAATACATTGTTGTTGCTATTCGGTCATTTTTTCAGTTGTTTCTGACCCTTCACGACTCCGTTTGGTTTTTCTTGGCACTGATACTGGAGTGGTTTGCCTTTTCCTTCTCCAGCTCATTTTACAGATGAGGAAACTGAGGCCAATAGGGTGATGTGACTTGCCCAGGGGTCACACAGCTAGTAAATATCTGAGGCTGGATTTGAACTCAGGTCTTCACGATTCCAGGCATGGTGTTCTATGTACTGCACCACTTCCCTGCCTACAAAATATATACAAAGTAATTTATGGACAGGGAGAAATGGGGTGATCAGGAAAGGCCTCTTGTGAAAAGTGGCCAAACTTTGAAGGAGCTAAGGATGCTAAGGGTAGCCAGGTGGTTCAGTGGTTAGGGTGCTGGTGGGGTCTGGAGTCAGGAAGACTTGCATTCAAAACCTGCCTCATACTCATACTAGTTGTATGACCTTGGGCAAGTCATTTAGCCTACCTCAGTTTTCTCATCTGTAAACTGGTGATAATAACAGGGCCTACCTCGAAGGGTTGCTGTGAGGCCCAAATGGGATAATAATTGTAAAGTACTTAGCACAGTGCCTGGCACATGGTAAGCACTAGATAAAAATTACCTGTTATTATTTTTTTCTTGAGAGGCAGAGATAAGGAGGGAGTATATTCCAGGCATATAGAAAGACCCAGAGGCAGGACATGGAATCTCATGCACAGGGAACAGTAAGTTAGGCCAGTTTATCTACAACATAGACTGTGTGAAGAAGAGGAATATGAAGTCAGTTGAAAAACAGATTTGAGCCAGATGGTAAGGGACTTCACTGCCAAACAGGAGAGCTATCTTAAAAGCACTAGGCAGCCTCTGGTGTTTGCTAGGCAGAATGACATGGTCAGAGGCAGGCCTTGGGAGTATGAATTTAGCATCGATGCGTACGATGGCAAGGAGATCCTGCAGTAGGCTGGTGGCTGCATGAGAGCAGAGGAAGGAAAGGACGTCAGACGAGGTGCAGGTACGATGAACACTTCGCAGCTGATTGGATGTGGTCAATGAAGGCAAATGAGACTTGAGGATGACTAAGGATTTGAATTTGAGTTGCTGGAAGGACTAGTATTTGCTCACAGGGTCGTTGTGGTAGACACACTGTAAACTTTAAGTGTCACTAGAAGGGGTAGCTAGGTGGTGTAGTAGATAGAGCTCAGGCCTTGGAGTCAGGAGGACCTGAGTTCAAATCTGGCCTCAGACAGACACTTGACACTTACTAGTTGTGTGACCCTGGATAAGTCACTTAACCCTGATTGCCTAATAAAAATAAATAAATAAGTTTTTTTGGTAAATATCACGAGATGTAAGAGATTTTTACTTGGTCTTGTATCCTGGCAGATGCTGGCCTTCCAGTCTACTTTTATGAGTTCCAGCATCATTCCCCCTCTGGGATCATCATCAAAAACCGAAGTGATGTGGCCGACCACGGTGATGAGATCAACTTCGTTCTTGGGACTCTACTCACTAAAGGTGAGATATACTTCCTGCCCTGTCCCTCAAGTAAGAAAGCCCTCTGTCCATTTGGCTGGAAGGAATAGAGTAGAAGGAAAAGAGAAATTGAGTAAAAGGCATCGTGGTAATAAGAGGAAGACTGGGCACCCCATTCCCAGGGCCTGGGAGCTCAGCCCCATCTTGCTTTCAAGGGCATACCTTCTGTACCCTGACTCTGAGTCAGCAAAGGCCTAGGTTGGTGAAGATACCTGCAATTAAATGAAGCCCCCAAGAGAGAAGACAATGATCTAGAGCTACTGTCCTCAAAGTCATCCCTACAGACTCCTCAGTTAGGGAGTGGCTCAGAGAGGTAGCCAAGATGAGAGAAGGAAGTAGCCCTACCAAGCTGATCCTAAAGAAGGAAGGAGGCACATGGTACAATTTGCTCTCTTGCCTATCCGCCAACAAAAACAGAAATGTCGAATCACAGAATGGTAGCCCTGAAGGGACCACACAGTATAGAATGTCAGAGCGAGGAGGGACTTAAGACCTGAGAACGTCAGAGCTAGCGAGAACCTTAGAACACAGACTGTTCTCGAAGGAGCCTTAAACATTATTTAATCTAGCTCTTTCGTTTGACAGATAAGACAGCTGAGGGCCAGAGAGAGAAGCTGAGTAGTCATTCGGTCAATAAGTATCTATTAAATGCCTACTACTGCCAGGCATTGTGCTAAGTGCTTGGGGTACAAAGAAAGGCAAAAGACAGTAGGCTCTCTTGGAGCTCATAAGCTAATATGGGAAACAACATGAGAACTGTTATGTACAAATGAGATAGAGATACGGGCTAAATTGGGCATGATCTCAGAGGGAAGGTACTAGCACTAAGGGGGATCAGAAAAGGCTTCCTACAGAGCTGGGAGATGAAGGAAGCCAGGGAAGCCAGGAAGCAGAGATGTAAAGGGAGAATATTCAAACATCATACTCTGTCACTAACCGTGTCCTTCCCCACTCTGGGTCTCACCTTCCTTAATCTGTAAAATGAGGTGGACTAGATAATCTCTAAAGTCATCCTTCCAACTCCCAATCCCATGATCCTGGGTGAAATGATTGACTCAAGGCCACTCTTGAATTCCAGTTTCCTAATAATATTGGCCAATGCTTTTCTTTTCCCAAGTCAGGCAAAGTTTTTCTTTTATCCTCTCACCCTCCCTGCCACCAAAGACTTAACGCCCTATAACTGTACTCTCAGTTACTCAAGGTACCGCATTCCTAGCCTGCTCATTCAGGCTCATCTATGTCCCAGATACATCCTTCACCCAGCCTGGTTTGAAGCCCTCAAGGTCAGGCTATCTAAGTCTTTTCCCCCCAGCCCTCAGGAGAACAGTCAATCTGATTAGTTGTTCCATGATAAGATGATAGAGAGTACTAAAATGATTCAATGAGATGTGAAGCCAATGTGATTTTGGCCAGCAGAGGAAGGGAAGTGACAATCCCACTATACTCTACCCTGGTTGGACCCTTATCGCCAATACTGAGCATCACATTTTAGGATGGATATGGACAATCTGGAGGCAACCAAGATGGTGAAAATCAGTCACTCAACATATATTTATTAAGCGCTAAGCACTGTGCTAAGTATGAGGATACAAAGGCAAAAAACATGATCCCTTCTCTCAAGGAGTTCACATTCTAATGGTAGAGACAACATGCAAATAATTAGGTACACATAAGATATATATATATATATATATATATATATATATATATAGGAGGACAGCTGGGTAGCACAGTGGATACAGCAGCAGGCTTGGAGTCAGAAAGACTCATCTTTGTGAGTTCAAATCTGGCCTCAGTTACTTACTAGCTGTGTGACCCTGGACAAGCCACTTAACCCTATTTGCCTCAGTTTCCTCATCTGTAAAATGAGCTAGAGAAGGAAATGGCAAATCACTCTAGTATCTCTACCCCAAATGGGGTCACAGAGAGTCAGACATGATTGAAAACAGTCCCCAACAACCAAGATAAATATTTTTTTTTCATTTTTTTGCCTTTAGGCAATTGGGGTTAAGTGACTTGCCCAGGGTCACACAGCTAGTAAGTGTTATGTGTTTGGTCTCAGGCTGGATTTGAACTCAGGTCCTCCTGACTTCAGGGCCAGTGCTCTATCCATTGTGCCACCTAGCTGCCCCCCCAAGATAAATATTTTAATATGTATTAAATGGGAGGTGGTCTCAGCAGGAAAGCACTAACAGCTGGGGCAGGGAGAGGGAGGATGGAAAAGTCCTCCAGCCCAAAGAAAGGCATAGAGAATATATTGTACAAGAATCAGTTGAAGAAACTGGGGATATTTAATCTAGAGAAGAGAGGATTTAGGGAAGGACACAGTCACTTCTTTTTTTTAAATAGTAATTTTTTCCCCAGTTACATATCAAGAAAATTTTTATCATTCATTTTTACAAAATTTTGAGTTCCAAATTTTTCTCCCTCCCTCCCCTCCCCTCTTCTGAAAATTGTAGGCAGCTTGATAGAGTTTAAATATGTGCTATCATGTAAAAATATTTCCATATTAGTCAGAATTGTGAAAAAAGAAACAGACCAAAAGGGGGAAAAAATACAAGAAAGAATAAAGTAAGTGAAAAAATATGCTTCCATCTGCATTAAGAGTCCATCAGTTCTTTATCTGGATATGGATAGCATTTTCCTTCATGAGTTCTTTGTACTTGTCTTAGATCATTGTGTTGCTGAGAAGAGCTGAGTCATTCATAATTGATCATCACATGATGTTGTTGATAGTATGTACATTTTCCTGGTTCTGCTCATTTTACTTTGCATCTGTTCATACAAGTCTTTCCAGATTTTTCTGAAATCTGCTTGTTCATCATTTCTTATTGCACAATAGTATTCCATTACATTCATATACCAGTTTGTTCAGCCATTCCCCAATTGATGGACATCTCCCCAATTTCCAATGTTTTGCCACCATGAAAAGGGTTGCTATAAATATTTTTGCATATGTAGATCCTTTTCCCTTTTTTATGATCTCTTCATGATACAGATCTATTAGTGGTATTGCTGGATCAAAGAGTATGCACAGTTTGGTAGTCCTTTGGGCATAGCTCCAAATTGCTCTCCAGAATGGTTGGATCAGTTCACAACTCCACCAACAGTGCATTAGTGTCCCAATTTTCCCATATCTTCTCCAACACTTATCTTTTTCCATTTTTGTCATGTTAGACAGTCTGATAGGTGTGATGTGGTACCTCAAAGTCATTTTAATTTGCATTTCTCTAATCAAAAGTGATTTAGAGCATTTCTTCATATGCCTATAGATAGCCTTGATTTCTTCATCTGAAAACTGACTGCTCATATCCTTTGACCTTTTATCAGTTGGGGAATTCTTGTAAATTTGACTCGGTTCTCTACATATTTGACAAATAAGGCCCTTATCAGGGATACTTGCTGTAAACATTGTTTCTCATCTTTCTGCTTTCCTTCTAATCTTGGTTGCATTGGTTTTGTTTGTACAAAAGCTTTTTTAATTTAATATAATCAAAATTATCTATTTTATATTTTGTAATGCTCTCTACCTCTTGTTTGGTCATGAATTCTTCCTCTCCCCATAGATCTTACAGGTAGACTACTCCTTGCTCTTCTGATTTGCTTATGGTGTCACCCTTTATATCTCAAACATGCCAAAGTTCTGTCATATCTAACTTTTCCAATATTCTATTTACCTCCTTAGTTTCTTTCTTGTTTATTTTTTGGTTGGATTTATTGAGTTCTGAGAGTGGACAGTTGAGGTCTCCCACTAGTATAGTTTTGTTATCTATTTCTTCCTGTAACTCACATAATTTCTCCATTAAGAATTTGGATGCTATATCACTTGGTGCATATATGTTTAGTACTGATATTGCTTCATTGTCTATGTTATCTTTTAGCACAATGTAATTTCCTTCCTTATCTCTTTTAATTAATTATGTTTTTGCTTTTACTTTGACTGAGATCAGGATTGCTACCCTGCTTTTTTTTTTTAACCTCAGCTGAAGCATAATAGATTCTGCTGCAGCTCCTTACCTTTATTCTGTGTATGTCTCTCTACTTCAAGTGTGTTTCTTGTAAACAACATATTGTAGGATTCTGGTTTTTGATCCATTCTGTGATCTGTTTCTGTTTTATGGGAGAGTTCATCCCATTCACATTACAGTTGTGATTACTACCTGAGTATTTCTTTCCATCCTATTCTTCTTCCTGTCTGTCTTCTCTCTCCTTTCACCCTTTCCCTCCTCACCAGTGTTTTGCTTCTGTCTATCACCTCCCCTGATCTGCCCTTTCTTTCAGTCCCCACCCCCCTTTACTTAATCTCCTCCCCTCCTACTTACCTGTCAGGTAAGATATTCCATGACCTCCAATCCTTTAATGTTGCAGCTGCCAAGTCCTGTGTAATCCTGATTGTGATCCCTGGTATTTGAATTGTTTCTTTCTGGCCACTTGTAGTAATTTTTCCTTGACCTGATAGTTCTGAAATTTAACTATAATGTTCCTTGGAGTTTTTATTTGGGGATCTCTTTCCTGAGGTGATCAGTGGATTCTTTCAATGCCTATTTTGCCCTCTGGTTCCAGGATATCAGGGCAGTTTTCCTTGCTAATTTCTTGAAAGATCCTATCCAAGTCCTCCTTCAGATTATGGCTTTCAGGTAGTCCAATGATTCTGATATTGTCTGTCCTGGAGCTATTGTTTTTCCCATGTCTTCCCATATTTTTTTGTCCATTTTTTTTTTCATTCTTTTGAATTTGCTTGATTGATTCTTGATGTCTCATAGAGTCATTAGTTTCCACTTGGCCAATTCTTGTAAGGTGTTGTTTTCCTTGATTAGCTTTTGTACTTTCTTTTCCATTCAGCCAGTTGTATAAGGAGTTATTTTCTTCGATGGGTTTTTGTATCTCCTTTTCTTTTTGGCCAATTCTACTTTTTAAGCAGTTTTCCAAGTTGTTGACTCTTTTTTCATACTTCTCTTGCATCACTCTCACCTCTTTTCTCATTTTTTCTTCTACCTCTCATATGATTTTTAAGTTCCTTTTTGAGCTCTTCCACGAGTTCTTTTTGCTGGGCTTGTGACTACTTCCAATTTTTCTTTAGGGTTTTGCCCATAGGAGTTTTGGCACCATTTTCCTCTTCTGAGTTTGTGTCTTGGTCTTCCCTGTCACCATAATAACTTTCTATGATTAGATTCTTTTTTTGCTCATCTTTGGGTGGGTGGGGGTGCTTTTTCCTTTCTTTTAAATTTGAGCTCTGGGGGCAGCTAGGTGGTGCAGTGGATAGAGCACCAGCCCTGAAGTCAGAAGGACCTAAGTTCAAATCTGCTTCAGACCAAACACTTGACATGTACTAGCTGTGTGACCCTGGGCAAGTCACTTAACCCCAATTGCCTAAAATAGATAGATAGATAGATAGATAGATAGATAGATAGATAGATAGATAGATAGATAGATGAATGAATAGATAAATAAATAAATTTGAGCTCTGTATCTCAGGCGGAAGGGGCACTGTCTCAGGCTTCTTGTGCCATTGGCTACAAGCCCTGGCTGTTTACTTGGTGTTGCACTGATGATACTCTAAGGCCCCCAGGGGACCTTGTGTCTGGTGCTGTGCTTAGGGCCGGGGTGGGGGGATGACTGGCACTGCTAAAGCCATAGGGGTCTGGCAGCTTACCTTGTGCTGATCTGGGGTCCTGGTGATGGTGTCTGGCATATGTTAGAGTCCAGTGGGGTGTTTCTACATTTCCTGGAGCTACACTGAAGCACATGGAGATCTGGTCATTGGAGTATGCCTACTTGCCCAGGGCTGTGCTTAAGCAAGTGGAGGTCTGGCCACTAAAGGATGCCTGCCCACCTGGTGCTGTGCCAAAACATGTGGTGGTTCTAGGAACTGGAATCTGCCCATTCTCCTGGCTTTGCTAAGGCACGGGAGGGGTCCTGCTGTTGGCATTTGTCTGCTCCACCACACTGGGTCTCAGGATCTCCCACTGGTTTGCTGGGGTGGAGTTTACTCCTGGCTTGCTAGGACACTTTCTGTCCTGGAATGTGTTCCCCTTTTACCAAAGTGAGAGGGACCATTCTCGTCAATCTTCCAAGTTTCTTGGGCTAAAAAACTTGTTCACCCCATCTCTTTGCTGGTTCTGCTGTTACAGGATTTGTTTTGGGGCACTATTTTATGGTTGTTTGGAGGTGAATATGGGAATGTTAAGGCGATTTACTGCTTACTCCGCCATCTTGGCTCCCAGAAGTTTCACGCAGTCGCTTCTTCAAAGATATGAAGACTTATCAGATGGGAAAGGAATTTGTTTTATTTTTTTCTGTTTTGGTTGAGAGGAGGAAGGGGTGAAAGTTGTAAGGATACAAATTTCTGCACCTTACAATTAGAGCTCTCTGAAAATAAAATGGGCTGCCTTTCATGGCTGGGTGGTGCAGTGGACAGAGTGCTAGGCCTGGAGTCACCTGAGTTCAAATATGACCTCAGACATTTATTAGCTGTGTGGCCTTGGGCAAGTCACTTGGCTGCTATCTGCCTCAGTTTCCTCATCTTAAGACAATAATAACTACTACCACTCTGGGTTGTTGTGAGGATAAGGTAATACTTGTAAAGCACTTTGCAAACCTCAAATGATAACTATTATTATTGAAAGGTAGTAAGTTCCTCATCTTTGGGCTTGTTCAAGTGGAGGCCAGAAAATTATCTGTGAGGCATGTAGTCCTAGGTTCATGTGCTCCAGATGGTAGTTGGATTAGAGAGACAACATAATACACTGGATAGAGAGGTTAACATGCAGTCAACAAGACCTAGGTACAAATCCGGCCTCGGATACTAGCTGTGTGACCCTGGGCAAATCCCTTCATCTCTCCATGACTCAGTTTTCCCATCTGTAAAATGAGGAGATATGGGCTTGACCTCTCAGGTCTCTTCCAATTCTAAATTTATGATGCAACTCTCCCTTCCCATTCTATGATTTCAAAGGAAAGTAATACATTTTCATTTTAACATGGAGCTCTTCTGGAGACAAATGCTTTAAACCAGAGGCAGAAGGACATATGTAGATTTCATGGAAGTAGAAAATGTCTTGGCAGATACCTTTCCAATTCTACTTCACCAGCCCCCTTTTCCTGCCCACATATGTGTCTTGTGAATCTGGCTGGGTCATCAGCTTCAGAGCACTGGCTGGACATGCTCCTTCCTCCAGCCTCTAACCAGATCCCCATTGCCCTCAACACTTCTCTTGGCTCTTTCCTCAGGGTCTGCTACAGAAGAGGAGAAAAAACTCAGCAGAAACATGATGAAATACTGGGCCAATTTTGCCCGCACAGGGTGAGTGCAAGAGCTGGGCATTGACGGCAGGGGACTGGTGAAAAAAGCCTTCCCTGATGTTTGACAGCACTCTCTCCCACTTCCAGGGACCCCAACAGCCATGGCCTGATGGAATGGCCACACTATGGGAAGGAAGAGAAGTACCTGGTGCTGGATTTAGAACAGAGGGTGGGAACACAACTGAAGGACAAGGAGGTGGCTTTTTGGACAAGGATCCAGAGTCAGCATCACGTCCAAGGTCAGCATGAAGGAGAGGCTTGAATCTGATGGTGCTGCTGACCCCGGCTTAAGCCTAAAGCAGCTGAAAAGCCAAGGGAATGCTTTGAGACCTGGTCCCTAAGGCTGGGGGATATGGGCAATCCAAGCAGACTTTGGGAGCAAAGGAATTATACACGGAAACATTTGGGGAAACTGAGGTCCTCCTGAGGTGACTATCCTGATAATTAGGGGCTCATGAAGAAAGAGGTCATTGGTTTCTGTCCTCATTGGATATCTCAGTTTTTTCCTCTATAAAATGAGGGGATGGGCTAGATCATCTCCACAGTCTCCTTAGACAGAGGATAGCTCCCAAATACTGACTGTCATCACCATCCCCCCAAAGCAGCAGCTGCCCTGTGCTAGACTTAGCTTTCTGCCCCCCTTTACTATAACCTGGGGCCTTATCCCTAGGTGGCCAACATCTACTTTCTCCCCCCTCTCCACTGCCCCCACTACACCTCCACCAATTTTGAGATGTTCAAGAAACCTCAAGCCCACACACACTGTGACTCAGTATAGCACATGCTCCCAGGCACTGTCCACAGAGAGAATGTCACAGCATCCCTACCTCCAGGCACCCCCCTCAAAGAACTGCATACAAACTTAGGAAATGTCTTATATACCTTGAGAGACAGTGTCATCCACAGGAAAGAACATTGGATTTGAAGGAAGAAGAACTGGGTTTAAGTGCCATCTCTGTTACTACCTACCTGTGAGACCGTGGGCAACTCAATGAACATCTCTGAGGCTCAGTTCCTTTATCTGTAGAGTGATGACCTCTGAAGTCTCCTCTGGCTCTAAATCTATAATGAGCTAGGAAGCTACAAATCAAAGAGCATTTGGATTTATAAGTTAAAGATTTAGGCTCCAAAGAGCATTTGGATTTATCATCTAAAGATCCAGGCCCCAAAGAGCATTTGGATTTATAATCGGAAGACCTGGGCTCCAATACCAGCCCAGACATTTACTAGCTGAGGGACTTTGAACAAATCATTTCATATTGCTGAGCCTCAGTTTCCCCTTTTGTAAGACAAGGAAGTTGAACTATGTGATCTCAACCTCATAAGGACAGTTAGGTGGCACAGTGGATAGAATACTGGCCTGGAGTCAAGAGCTGAGTTCAAATCTGTCCTCAGACACTTACTAGTTGTGTAACCCTGGGCAAGTCACTTCACTCTGTTTGTCTCGGTTTCCTCATCTGCAAAATGAGCTGGAGAAGGAAATGGCAAACCACTCCAGTATCTCTGCCAAGAAAACCCCAAATGGGGACATGACTGAAAAATGATTGAACAATAACAATCCAACCTCATCTCTCCTTCCCACTCACCATCAACCTTTCATACCCAATGGGCCACTCACTGACCCTACATGTATCATATTTGCTGCCATTACTCCTTTCCTAGAATGGCCTTCCCACTATCTCCTGCCTCTCCAAATCTTATCTACCTTTCAAGTCCCAGTTCATGCTACCCGCTTTATGAAGTCTTCTCTGAACACCCCAAGCCCCAGAAATCCCTTCCTCCTTTGGACCTACTACTTGTACATACAGGTTCCTGGAAGGCAGGGCGATATAGCAGAGAGAGCACAAAACTTAGGAGACCCTGACAAGACCTTATTAACAGAGTTATGTAGAAAGGTGTATATACATATACAGGGTATCCCATAAGTTGAAGTGCAGCTGTAAGCTATAAGCTTAAGGCTGAACTTAGACTTTTGGGACACCTTGTATCTATCCTATAGCAACCAATAAAAACTAATTTTACAACATTTTTCTATCAACCAACCAACATAACACACCTTCTGTGTGTGCCAGAATAGTTATTATGTGCTGGGAATACAAACACAATGAATAGAACCAGCCCCACTTGAGTTTATAATCTAATGGGGGAGACAGCAAGAATGTATATAAGCACATACAGTATAAATATAAAGAGACTAAATGTAAAGTAATTAAATGTAAGGCAATTTAAGAGGGAGGTCACTAGCAGCTGTGGAAAAGGAGGAGAGTGTCAAGAAAGGCTTCATATAGAAAGTGACACTTGAGCTGAGTCTTGAAGGAAGAGAAGGATTCTATGATGTTGAGGGGAGCACAGAACTGCCTGGTGGGCAAAGGCATGGAGGTGGGAAATGCATGCCATGTGTAAGGAACAAGGAGAAGGTCAGTTTGGCTTGATTGCAGAGTACAGACAGTGAAGCAATAGCAATTGCATTTACAAGATTCTTATGAGCAAAACCCTATTGGAAGGGGTCCTGGAAACCACAGAGAGGAGACAATATGGGAAACGTTACAGATAAAAAAGTTCTGTTGGTCCTGCCAAGATACTTCCTGGCTGTGTGACCCTAGACAAGTCTCCTTACCTCTCTAAGCCCCAGTTCCCTTTTCTATAAGGTAGGGATTATCATATTTGTGCTACCTACATTGAATGATTGGTGTGATATCTCATAAAGTTGTTGTGAGAAATGTCAAGATATATCTAAGGCACTTTGCAAACTTTAAAGTGCCATGTAAATGTCAGCTATTGTTTTTTAATAATAATAAGCCCTAAGGTAGCATAAAAATATGATTCATAAAAATCACAGAATGTTACAATTAGAGGGCTCTTCGAATGTAAGTTCATAGTGCATCAAACAGTTGTTCCCAACCAGGGGGGTCAAACGCGAGAAAACCACAGGTTGGAGCAGAGGGATAGGAAAGCCAAGTACACCCCCCACCATGTAATACAAGAGTTTTTATAAGGGGTCCAAAGAGACGCACCATAAATATGTACCCCAAGCACTGTAATTTTTATCTTTAGCTCTAATGGATATGTAGGTGTTACTATTATTCAAATGTATTTAGATAATGTTATGATTAATAAAATATTAATTCATTTAAAAGAATTACATGGGTAGAGTATCTTTTGTCATTCCCTATTTTCTTAATCGATAAACACTAATAGTACAATTATCATGATGTAGATCTACCAAAAATATTATTTGGGGGGGGTGTTCCCAAATGGCTGAAGAAATTATAGCATATGAATGTTATGGGAAGCTATTGTGCTTTACAAAATCAAGAATATGAGGATTCTGAGAAACATGAGAAGACATGTAAGAACTGATACAAGGTGAAGAAGAACCAGTAGAATGATATATAAGACAGCAATAATATAAACAAAATACTAAAAGGCATTTGCACTCAGATTAATTGCAATGAACAACCTAGTTTCCACAGGATCAAGTGGAAAATATTTGTAAAAAAACACATGGCAAAGTGGCTGCCGCGTAGTAGGCACTGTAAAAATGTTTATACCCTTTCCCCATGGTGAAAATGATGAAATATCTAGGTGGTACAGTGGAGTCAGGAAGTACAGAAAGGGGATACAGGTGATACAGCTGGGTCTGGAGTCAGGAAAACCTGAGTTCAAATGTGGCCACAGACACTTAATTAGCTGTGTGACCCTAACTAAGTCACTTCACCCTGTTTGCCTCGGTTTCTTCATCTGTAAAAACGAGCTGGAGAAGGAAGTGGCAAACCATTCCAGTATCTTTGCCAAGAAAATCCCAAATGGGGTCACAAAGAATTGGACACAACTACAAAACAACTGAACAACAAAATTATTACTTTTTATTAAATTCCCTGCTCTCAGAAGAGAGGTGATAGGTTACATTGTATAAATTACCAGATCTGAAGGTTTTGTTTGGGTTTTTTTGGCTTAACTATTTTTCTTTGTTATAAGGGAGGATCCAGTGATAATAGGGTGAGTATACTGGGAAATTATACAGAATGATATAGACTGGCAACTCATCCTTAAGCCAGTAAGAGACAAAAGACATCAACATAATTTTTAAGGTAGGAGGGGAACCTTTCGAAATAACAAAATGGCATTGCATTCATTTCTCCCCTACAAAAACAAACAAACCAAGGTCTTCATACTTTTAAAGTTGGGAACACAGACTATAGTTACCCAATCCCTGAGCAAACATTTCTTCTTTGTTCTACCGTGTATCATATTGGTTATATATATGATATGACCCCTAGGAGGTGATGTACTGGTAGGTGTTTAACAAATATCTTCCCCAACCAAAAAAAAAATATATATATATATGTATATATATATATATATATATATACATATATATATGTATATATATGTGTGTGTGTATGTATATGAGTATACACACATATGTACAAGTACATATACATATTTACATACACGTGTATACACACATATATATATGTATATATATACACCATATTCTTCCAAGTTTAATCTACATAACATTTTCTCCATCACTCTCTTAAATTTAGATAGTCAGCAAAATAGCAAATCAAACTCTAATTTGTAGTTTGCCATTTTCTAAGGTATAAATGGTCACACTGAAAATTTAACAATTGGTCCTCACAAGGTGTTACAAGCTTACCCTTAGTAGACGATAAGTTCTTGAGAACAGGGACTATAGGATTTCAATAAATATTTGCTGAATCAAATTGAATTGATGGTTGGAACTCAAAACAACTCTTGACTACACAATATTAAACATAGAACACAGAACGTTGGGTCTGAAAGAGACCTTAGAAAATAGAATGTTAGAGCATAGACTGCTAGCACCAAGAAGGGGCCTTAAAAATCCTCTAGTCTAAGATCCTCATTTTACAAGCAGACCCAGAGAGGAGGAGTGGATTGCCCAGGACAGCCAGCTAGTGAAGGCCTGTAACAACTGTACCCTATATCCCAGCTCCTCTTTATGCTACATCGTGTTTATCATTCAGTTCTTGAGAAGGCATAGGGTAGTGAATACTATGACTCTGAGCCTGGTAGTGGTCAAGGTTTGAGTTTAATGCTTGTTGCCTTAAAATCCTATCTCTGACATATTCTAATATATGGTCATGGATAATCACTTAATTCCACAGTGCCCTACACAATTCTCTAACTATAAATTAAGGATGAGCTGCCATTCTATATCAATGGAAGGATGGGACCTTTCCAATAGGTTAATCACATACCCACTGGGACCATTCCACAGTCCCCACTTTAAAGAGTATTAATGAAGTTCAACCTCCCCCTCATATTTTTTACTGTTTAATTTTTCTTATTTTAGTCCCTTTTCAATGAACGTTTATTTTTCTGAAGAAAAAGAAAGAAAAAGAAAACCCTGTAATGAACATGCATAGTCAAGCAAAACAAATCCCCCATTGCCCATGTCTAAAAAGGAATGTTTCATTCTGAATCTTGAATCCACCACCTCTCTATCAGGGCATGGGTAATATGCTTCATCATTGCTCCTCTGGTTGGAATCATAGTTGCTCATCTCATCGATCAGAGTTCTTAAGTCTTTCAAAGTTGTTTGTTTTTACAATGTTGTTGTTACTTTATAATTTGTTCTTCTGGTTCTGCCCACCTCACTCTGTATCCATTCATATAAGTTTTCCCAGGTTCTCCAAATCCTTCCCTTTCATAATTTCTTATGGCACAATAGTATTTCATTACACTGACATAGGGGCAGCTGGGTGACACAGTGGATAGAGGGCCTGGCATGGAGTTAGGAAGACTCATCTTCCTGAGTTCAATTCTGGCCTTGGATACTCAACTAGCTGTGTGACCCTTGGAAAGTCACTTAACCCTGTTTGCCTCAGTTTCTTCATCTGTAAAATGAGCTGGAGAAGGAAATGGCAAATTATTCCAGTATTTTTGCCAAAAAAACCCCAAATGGAGTCA